CCTGCCATGGCCGGAAAAGGAAAATTTTAAAGTTAATTCGGTATGAAAATAATGGCTTAAATTAACATTTTTTTTATGGAAGACGTCAGTTAAGATTCGACCTAAGGACAGATTGTGTTTGAAAACAAGCCAGACTGGCGTATCGACCATTTGTGAAATCTTGACTTTAAACGAGATCGCTGATAGTGTTTGTTTTAAACTTAGTTTACAGCTGCCAACTCAATTTAGAAATTGTTCGTATGTAGAACATGCTATTGCGTATCGAATCAAGACATAGCATCATATGCAGATGAAATGATGTATTTCTATATAAATAAGGAAATCTGACAAAGCGGAAGTCATTACGTTTATCATAAAGTTCAGTTGTTAGTTTGCCAGCAATGTTTTTTCTCGGGTAAAACATCCGAATACGAAACAGATGTGGCTGACTGGTTTCTTTTCTTTCAATTTCAGGAGGGTATATCACTATATGGAATCAACGTATAATAGAAATGAATATTGTTAACTGATAAAACGTTTTAACAAAGTTAGTTTATAAATGAAGTCTTGAACAGAGATAGGTTTAAATGGTAGTGCTTTTGACCAAATTTTGTGATTTCAATTTTTCTAAAATTTCTCTGGAGTTTTTTCATGTTTTTAGTGTCCACATCTGAGTTTCAAAGGTGTTTTCGAGAATTCACATGTGATTTACACCTGTTGTAACACAGCACGTCTATAACGCTTCTTCACAGGATGAACCTACACCGTTCAATATAACAATGACTTTAGTCTGGAAAGGTCGCTGAATGGCAGAGCTCTGTCATTCAGTCACCTTTCAGCAGACTTTCAGTCACCTTTCAGTTAACTGAATGGTGGAGTTTCATCATGTGCTTGTTCGCAGCAGCTAATTTTTTGTCAGAAGTAAAGATTGGGACTTTGTAGAATTTTACTACACCCTGTAATTTATCTTTGTAAGGATTTTATTCACCTTTTGAAATCCAGTATAAGAACAGTAACTCAAATCCCGTTGACTGGGATGTCAAAAGTGTTTCAGGCTGAAACGTGATATTGGAAAAAGGAAACTTGGTGCACCAGATGAGAAACTAAGCCAAACTCTTCATGTAGTTGTAATAATTAGCCTTAAAACTAAAGATGGTGTTGTTGATGATGTTACATGTTAGTTTGGTAATTATCTGCCCAGTGGTTCTTAAGAAGATTTTTAGCAAACATTACCTTTTATTTTATTCTTCTAATTATCTCCCCTTGCTTAAAGGTCACATCCCTATTTTTGGAAACAAATGAAAGCCCTTGGGCCAAGGATATTCCGAGACAAATTTAATAAAAATTAGAAAATGTGAGATGTGACCAATATTTGAAAAAAAGCCAGAGCATTTCATGCCGAAATATAGAAACTTTTTTATATCTAGAAATTATCAAAAGTACGAATTTCGGGACGAGTCTGATTCACACATATCCTTGCACTTTCACAAAGTAAATATTAAACACAATACTTAAGAAAAATAGAAATTTTGTAGTGTATTAATGAAAAATATGAAAACTATAATCTAGAAAGTTCAGAGTAGAAATGTGAGAAAGCAAAATAAATAACAATTTTTCAAGATTTCTTTATTGGAAAGTATGGATGCATTATTTATCCATATTTTCTACAGTGTCTATAGGTCAAGGTCATTACACACACCCCAGGTCATAAGCAATCTTTGTGTTAAGTGGAAACTCCTAACATCCCAACATTATTCTCCGTAAGAAAGATATGGACCAAACACGAATTATGAACTTTTTCTGTCAGTAACCTTGAACTTGCACAGATGACCTTGAGTCAAGGTCATGACAAACCCTAAGGTCATAAGCAATCTTTGTGTAAAATGGGAAATGACCAAGCTTATCCATAAGAAAGATAGCCTGCATGGCGCAGTGGTTAGAGCATCTGCTATAGAGTCGCGGAGTAAGGAGCTAATCCTTTGGTCGCAGGTTAAAATCCACTGCAGGACGTAGAGACCGGTCCTTTGGATGAGACCGTATAAACCATGGTCCCATGTCGCAGTTGGTGTTGGCACGAAAACGATCCTTCACTGCTCAATGGCCCTGAGTGCCGAGTATAGGTATAAAATTTCAGCCCTCCATCGGCAAGTGGTGGCGTCTCCATATGAGTGAAAAATTCTCGATAAGGATGTTAAACAACAAACATAAGAAAGATATGGACTGGATACAAATTATGAACTTTTTCTTTCAGTGACCTTGAACTTAACCAAATGACCTTGGGTCAAGGTCATGACACATCCTCAGGTCATGAACAGTTTTGATGTAAAATAGGAACTAACCAAGTTTATCCATAAGATATGGAGCAGACACGATTTATGAACTTTTTCTTTCAGTGACCTTGATCTTGTTTAAATAACCTTGGGTAAAGGTCAAGACACACCTTAAGGTCAAGAAATCTTTGTGTAAAATGGGAACTAACCAAGTTTATCAATAAGAAAGATATGGACCGGACACGAATTATGAACTTTTTCTTTCAGTGAACTTGAACGTCTCCAAATAATCTTTGGTCAAGGTCATGACACACCCTCAGGTCATGAACAATCTTTGTTTGAAGTAGTAGATTCTAATGTTCCTCCGTAAGAAAGATATGGACCGGACACATTTGTACAGAGAGACAGACAAGGCGATTCCTTTATACCCCCCAAACTTCGTTTGTGGGGTATAACTACAACAAGGATACTTTTTGTTATGAACATATATTCATCACTGCAATAAACCTGGAGGGCACAGGGCACTTCATTTGTACAAGATACTTCACCCAATAATGCTGTTGCAAGTTTAACAAGAGGCCTATGGGCCACATCGCTCACCTGAGCACATTGGCTAGGCAAAAGCACAAATCAGTTCAGTATTGAAAAGATTACCGGGGGGGGGGGGGGGGGGGGGGCTTGAATTTTAAACTACCTGATGTCAATATAACAAATGGCTTTGTTGTACTTGATATGGCTCCTCCCTATCCCAGGGGTCATCATTTGAACAAACTTGAATCTACACTATCTGAGGATGCTTCCATATCAACATGACTAAACATAGCTTTTCTGTTCTTGAGAAAATGACTAATCATGGCTTTGCAGTTCTTCAGAAGTAGATATTTTCCTATATATTTCTATTTAAGACTTTGATCCTCCATAGTGGCCCCACCCTACCCCGGGGGTCATGATTTGAATAAATTTGAATCTACACTACCTGAGGATGCTTCCATATACGTGTAAATATGACTCATTATGGCTCTGCTGTTCTTGAGAAGAAGATTTTTAGATTTTTAAAGATTTTTTCCTGTATATTTCTATGTAAAACTCTGATCCTCCATTGTGGCACCGCCCTTCCCCCGGGGGTCATGATTTGAACAAACTTGAATCTACACTACCTGAGGATGCTTCCATATAAATATGACTCATCATGGTTTTGCTGCTCCTTAGATGAAGATTTTTAAAGATTTTTCCTTTATTTATGTAAAACTTTGATCCTCCATTGTGTCCCCACCCTTCCCCCGGGGGTCATGATTTGAACAAACTTGAATCTACACTACCTGAGGATACTTCCACATGAGTTTCATCTTTCCTGGCCCTGTGGTTCTTGAGAAGAAGATTTTTAAAAGATTCTATTAGTTTTTCACTAATTCTTTATTATCTCCCCTTGAAAGAGGGTGAGGCACTTCATTTGAACAAACTTGAATCCCCTTCACCCAAGGATACTTTGTGGCAAGTTTGGTTGAAATTGGCTCAGTGATTCTTGAGAAGAAGTCGAAAATGTTAAACGTTTACAGACAGACGGACAGACAGACGGACGCCGGACAAAAAGTGATCAGAAAAGCTCACTTGAGCCTTCGGCTCAGGTTAGCTAATAAAATATAGTAAATGTAAATCCTCCACAAAGAATAAAACAAGAGGCCCATGTGCCACATTGCTCACCTAAACACTTTCGCTACGAAAAAGCATAAAATCACTTCAGAATTGAAAAGTTCGATATAAAAGAAGTTCCTAATTTTCCATCAACCGACCCCCTACCATTGGGGCAATATTTCTATACTACCTGAGGATGCTTCCAAGTTTCTTTGACTAATCATGGCTTAAGTTGATTTTTCAGGATTTTTTCTAAACATTTGATTTTCTATTGTGATCCTACTTTATCCCTTGGAACATGATTTGAACACACTTGAATCAACACTACCCGAGGATGCTTCTGAATTGATATGTGCTGTTCTTGAGAAATAGATTTTAATAATATTTTCCATTTAATCCTTAGTATCTCCTGTCGTGGTCCCTCTCTACCAACTGGGAGAAGGTCTTGTGAAAAGTAATATGAATGTGAAATATGAAATTCAGTGTGTTAGCACCAAAGATATGGCCAGGTTAAAGGTTTTTCAAAAAGTAGGTCATACTCCAAGGACATCAAAAGGTAAAAAAAGTTGGTACTCGAGGAAAAGTCTGTCACAAGGAATACACATATGAAATATGAAAACCCTAGCATTAACCATTTAAAAATATGGCCAATGTTAAAGTTTTGTAAAATTTTGCAAACATGGGTCAAACTCCAAGGTAAAGAGGTCAAATATGTTGGTACCCACAGAAAGATGGACAGACAGGAATGCCATACCATAATACTTCACAAGAAAGGCACATAAAAATAGAGTTTACAGTAATGCCAACTACAGGAAAACAGACAAGGGGACTGCAGGGGATCTGACCACAATGGCACATTTGAAAGACCAAGCTTCAAAAAAGGCTCTGGTGAGTTAATATTCCACAAATCATTCAAGAATGATAGTATTGTATTTAATACCTTTTATTGAGATTGCATATCTTTAAACAAATTTTGTACTTATGCATGTTAAACTTTCAATCTTAAAACCAATTGATTTAAGCTGACAAATGCTTTATAGAGAATTTTGTATCACTGTATTTAGTAAAATTTGACATATTTTAACATTAAGTTTCTTGTAAATTTTAAAAAAATGAATAAACAGTTACCATTTCATAAAGAACACAAATGCAACCATGTATATGCACACTCTTGTTGCAGAATATACTTTTGTAAATAAAAACAAATCTTAATCTCCTTAATATTGGGATGATTCTCCTAATCCTTTCATTTAAGTTCTGATTTGTTCTGACTCCTTCCCCTTAATAGTCCTCCCCTCGACTGATGACCTCCTTACATGTGGGTCTGAGGAGTAAGGTGTGTTCAAACTGGGCCGTGTAACACCCTTTAGAATCACACAAAGGAGGGTATGGGTCAAGGATGCCCACATCACACAGGTTTTTGAGTGCTATCAAGTATTTAGTCTGTCCGAGGCGATCCAGCCAGCGCCGACAGAAGGCTAATGTCCCGAAGTTCTGGTTTATCACATTCAGCAGTTGCTTTGATTTCTGTACCCTATGTATAAATTGAAATGGGCAAAACATGTTATTTATAGTTCAAATTTCAAAAAAAAAAAAAAAAAATAGACATATGTCCATAGGACATGAATACCCCACCCAGGGCTCATTAGTAATTCAACATGAAAATCTGTATTAGTGTTTGAAGTTTGATGAAAATATCTTATTATAAACAATGAAATAAATCAATGATCAATACAAGACAAAATTTCGAGTTTGACACTAACATTTTTAGGCTTTAGTCCGGCCAGACTAGTGCTTCTTTACTTTTACTAGTCCGCACGCGATTTTATGAGTTCCTCAAAAAAAATCAATGTTTTGTAACTTTTTTGCAATAAACAAAGCATTTACATGAAATGTTTTATTCCAAGATTCGTTGAAATCTCACAATCAGGAACTACGGTCGTATTCCTGATCTTGTTCATTTTATGTTTTTCTCTATATATTACATCCAAACATCCGACATCTTTCTTTATGTGTCATATTAAATCATGATCACTAAAATGCTTAATTTCATACCAATCAGTCCTAAAATTAAGCGCCGAATTGACTTGGAATTACCTAACTTCCTGCCAAGAAGCTAGAAAGCTAAAAATACATGCGGGGTTTTCCAGTGAGAGTCGTTAAGAATCAGACAATGGTAATTTATTGATTTTTTTTCAGAAATTTTTATTAGTCCGTTCAGACTAATTAGCCACAGATTTTATTAGTCTGAATAAAAAAGTATTAGTCTGAGACTAACGGACTAACGTTAATGTCAAACCCTGAATGTACTTATAGATGAAAATTGTAAGAACTGGGTGAATATAAAAGATTTGTTTCTGAAATGTTCTTACTCAAAGTCAATGGAGATACACAGATTAAATTTGCAACAATTGTTTAATATTACTAAACAGGCAAAATGTTAACCACATACGAAAATATTCATATACAAGACCTTTATAAACATGTTCAACACCTATATTATTTTCTATAATGAATATGTTTAAAAGTATTATAACATAATTTACCAATTCTGCCTGCATTTTAAGGTAAATGAACAAACAAAACATTTTTAAAATATATTGCAATCTTAACTGAATGCACAAGGTCATAAAATAAAATAGATCATTTCCTTAAAATCTAAATGATATAAAAAAAAAAGTGGAGTATTTCTTCAAATGAAGACACTTGTCCGTGTACATAGGTACATGTATATATATAGAATTATAATAGTAAAGCACACTTCTTCTAGAACTAACACACTTTAAAAATTTAATTTTGTTATGTACATAGGTACAAAACAAAATTAAATTTTTAAAGTGTGTTAGTTCTATAAGAAGTATGCTTTACTATTATAATTCTATAAAAATAATCCCTCGTCATTTACCTTAAGGGCACATGCCCCACATCAAAATTCTTCATATAATGAGATGTTTCCATATCATCATGCACAACTCCTTTTCCAGTACTACCAAAAGTCTCTATAGCATAAAATTCCATTTCCTATGAGATTGAAAAATAGATTGACAGAGTTATTAAACATGTCACTTTGGGTTCAAATGTACTTCACTGGAGAAAAATAGAATTGAAACTGAGTGAGATACAACATTCAAACATCTTATGTCACACACATACCTCCATCCTTGTAGCCTCTCCTCCCTTTACTATAGGGACAGTCTTCCCAGCGTGGATTCTGTACGGACTAATGGAGTGACCATTCAGATTGCGTATGGATTTAACTGAAAGATAAAGGGTTATTCTGCTTTTATTCTTCTTTTTCAACACTTTATAAAACTGCTATGTTCTATAGTTACCTGTATTAGTATTACACTTTGTACAATATTTTCTACAGAAAGAGGAAGCTTCTATAAAAGTATCCACTGGTTTTTATTTTATTTTTTTTTTTACTTTCTTCTACTGTTAAAGAAGGTTCACTTCAATACATTAATTCGAATAATTGATTTAACATGTAAGAAAATTCACCTTGATATGTTTTGCCATCTAGTTCCACCTCATAAGACTCCATGACCTCTTGGATCCTCTCCCCAATATCACATAATCTTACATCAATGCCCGCTTCCTATATTAGAAAAACATGAAAGATAACTGAACAAGAATTATCTTTCTTTTCATATTGAAATAGGATTTAGAAAAGTCGGTCATGGCAAAACTAGTTAATTGTACAATTTATTGCAGAGTACAATATACTCATATCACAAATCAACTAAGTGAAAAGAACCTGGCCTCGAGACCATAAACTGAGAACAGACTTAAGTCAAAATTTTGATTTTGAATAGCTTGTCATTTATAATACATACGTTATCAAAAATTTGCAGGTTTGTATATTTCAATTTAAACATATGGTAAAAATTTTGTTATCAAAATTATTTCAAAAGTTATATTGATTTGAAATTTTGACTTAAGTCTGTTCTCAGTTTATGGTCTTGGGGCCAGGACTAATTTAATTTATACAAATTCTTTTTCATTCCAGGATAATATTAATCAGTATTTTACCTTAATTCCTGTGTTTGTGGCATCTTTTACTGCTTGTAGTAATCTGTCATACTTTGGATTGAAAGATAGTGTGAAAGCACAGTCAATGATTCTACCTGTGGTAAGAAAAACAAGTTATTGTATAAAATCCAGGGCAGTCTAGCATATACATCATTGTTAAGGTATTTCTCCCAGTATCTAAGACATAACACAATTTCTTTTCATTCTATAATTTTTTTGTGAACAAATGTGTTTTCTTAATATTCTAATATTCCATACTTAACATTCAAAAATTCATTTAAAAATTTTCTATGAGTATCCATAAACATTTTTTCAAAATTTTAATGCAAAAATTGTTAAATTAGCAAACAAAACTACTTAATATTTAATTCAATGCTGATTTACTAATACCATTTATATGAGTTCCAAAGTCAATTTTACAGACATCGTCTACCCCTAAAACCGTTGGATCTCCTGCGTTAGGTGTATAGTGAGCAGCGCAGTGGTTAAGAGAACACCCTGTAGGGAATGCTAGGCCCGCCTCCAGTCTGTTCTCATTGATCAACTTCCTGGCTGTAGATTCTAATGTCTCACTGTATCAGAAATATAGCCACTTCAAAAGTTAATCAGATATGAGAAACTGAAAGTGAAACAAAAAAAATTTTTTTTTTTAAAAATTGAAAAAAAAAATTTAAATCTTACCAAATATCAATCATTGTCATTCCTGGTTTTATGTATTCTTTCATGTATTTTCTTGTCTACAGAAGAAAGTTTACTTTCTATTAAAATTAACATAGAATTTTTTTTTAAAAACTTTTAATCAGAACACACTTATCATACAACTTCAAATAAATTGGAAAAATTTTTTCCACTCTAGCACAAAATAAAATGAGGTTAATATGATTACTTTTGAATGTGACTTATACCACTCTGTTCTCAAAAGTTTGATTAACTGTTTACTGATAGACATTTAACATTATGAACAGAATATCCACCACACTTATCCATTTGCTACTAGAGAATTGTTGGAAGAATATCTCTCTTGCTTGACCTCCTATTACATATAATTACTGGCTTTGTCTTAAGCTTGCTTCATTGATTATTCATAACAAGAGAAGTATTATTAAAATACCTCTCTGTGTACCACTGTGCTGTGCCTAACCTCCTGGTATATGTAATTATTGGCCCTGTTTAAAACTCATTTCACTGACTATTTGTAACAAGAGAATATTACAATACCTGTCTGTGTGCCTCTGCGGCTTGCCTGACCTCCTGGTATATGTAATTATTGGCTCTGTCTAAGGCTCGCTTCACTGACTATTCGTTAACAAGAGAAGTAATATATCAATACCTGTCTGTGTGCCTCTGCAGCTTGCCTGACCTCCTGGTATATGTAATTATTGGCTCTGTCTAAGGCTCGTTTCACTGACTATTCGTAACAAGAGAATATTACAATACATGTACCTGTCTGTGTGCCTCTGCGGCTTGCCTGACCTCCTGGTATATGTAATTATTGGCTCTGTCTAAGGCTCGTTTCACTGACTATTCGTAATAACAGAAACAATATTACAATACCTGTCTGTGTGCCTCTGCGGCTGCCTGACCTGGTATATGTAATTATTGGCTCTGTCTAAGGCTCGTTACACTGACTATTCGTAACAAGAGAAGTATTATTACAATACCTGTCTGTGTGCCTCTGCGGCTTGCCTGACCTCCTGGTATATGTAATTATTGGCTCTGTCTAAAGCTCGCTTCTCCTCATTTGTCATTCTGTCCCTGGCTGTTGTGCTGTGTAAACAAACATGACAATAATATCACACCATAATATCAAACACTCACAAGAAAACATTGATGTAACCATCAATTGTCGCCCGGGAAATAAATAAAGTAAACAATGGAAATGAGTCTTGATCATCAAACCGCTTCGATATGTGTGAAAAAGGCATGCGTCTAAATGATGGAGACGATAGTAGAGACTATTTTGAAAACTTATAGTCGGATGAAAATCGAACAAAAACGATACCCTTTTAAACTTTATCAATTCCTCAAGTAAATGTTGGCTGCATAAAATACAATTTGAAACCAAACACATGCATCACCTATTTTCAAAAATGTCTTTCACTTTAAGATTATAAAACACGAACTGTGTAAAGTACGCTTTTACGTTTTTATGCGATAAGTAAAATTCGATGTTCTAAAAAAAGGGACCTGTCCTTTTTTCGATAGTAAATGATAAGCACCTTTATATATTAAATATGAAAAACATATATATTTTTACAGATTCACTTTATGGAAGTAAAATTATTGTCTATCTCTTAATTTATAAAGGGAAAGAACATTCTAATTAACAATCTTTTTAATGTTTAGAAAACCTTTAATTCTGAATAACTTCTCCCACCTCCATCCCCATATACCAACACTTAAACTTATATATATAGAGCAGCCCGGTCCTCCGGGCTGCAATCAGTGAGAAAAAATATTTAAGTTCAATAATTCAATTTTCTTTCTTTTATTCATCCTATCCCTCAAAGCAGTTTATATAAATAGCCTTCTGCTCTTGCAAACATATCTGTAAATTTTCAAAGCATAAAAAGTACATGTAGATTAAATGAACAATTTACTTAAAATTTCAGGAACAACTGAACCATTTTTCTGTCTTCAGGAGTGGGCATTATTTATGTAATTTAAAAAAATAAATGTGCAGTTTTGAACATGTTTTATCGTCCACATATGGAAGACTGTAAGGCAAATGACATTCAAATACTGCTATGCAAATTCAGTTTTTGAATATGAATAGAGGAAACTTTGTTCAAAAAAGTTAAAAACTTTCTTCCTAATCTAAGACAACCTTTTAGTGTTATAATAAAACTGAAGTCCACTTAGGTAAGAGTTACCTGTCTTGAACCACCGGATATTCCATTATCTCCCCTTCTGGGAAGTTTCCCTCTGGGAAGAGCTCTGATATTGGTAAGGAGGGGGGATTAGTCTGTTGTTTTTGTCCTGTAGGAGATATAACTTGAAATACTGATCTTCAAAAACGTTGGAGTATTTATCATTTTTGAAAACACTGAACTTGTAATATGAGGAGACAGCTGGCCAACAAGAAGAACACCTGTCCCTGATAGGTAAGATGGATTTCCAGACTTTTGTTCCTATAAACATACAATAATGACTCCATTACGAGTATCTAAAATAACTTAATACCTGTATTCTTTTTCTTTTTCTTCTTTTTCTTCTGTCCCTCTCCCTCTCCCTCATCAGCCCCTGTAAACATGTCATTTATCCTTAACATTGTAACTGTACATGTGGTATAAACATGTCATTTATCCTTAACATTGTAACTGTACATGTGGTATAAACATGTCATTTATCCTTAACATTGTACCTGTGGTATGAATGTCAATCACGTGTGAAACGTTAACTTTTTTGAATGATCATTAGAACTACAGTAAAACTTGTCAAATCCAGACACCACTTTCATAGAAATTGGCTGGATTAGATAACATTCAGGATTAGAAAACATTTTAAAATAATATAATTTACTGACAAGGACAAGCCTTCATTGTATTCTAAACACAAGGTTTTGTATTACACAATGTACATCGGGATTAGACAAGTTTCACTGTACTTAAAATTGAAATACAAACAATATTATCTGTAATATATATTTTTTAAAACAAATTGTGTTAGACATTAATTTTACTGAAATATAGCATGCTATATCCACCTTGAATGTCTCACATGTGCTCCCTGCAGAGGCCAAGTTTATTTTTCTTTCATATTGCTTAATTACTCTTAATAAGATCGACGACATTCAAATTATGGGAGACAATATTTCCTAAGCCAATTTGATGTCAATATAAAATAATGTCAGTAAGCACAACAATAGATATTATCCTCTGAACACTTGCCTGTTCCTGATGAACCATTAATGGCCTGTTTCTCCAGTGTTTCTGTAATATCATTCACAACATTTGTGTCTCCCTCACCTGGCTCTTCTACAATTAAGAATAACGAACACTGTACTAAATAACTCAAAAAGAATAAGAGTTGTACGATATTTTTTACTCATATATATATATATATATATATATATATATATATATATATATATATATATATATATATATAATATATAAATAGTGCACGTTTTTGAGGGTAACAGTTGAAATTGACACCCCAAGGAAAACCATTGTCAACCGACGCGTCAGCGGAGGTTGACAATGGTTTTCCGAGGGATGTCAATTTCAACTGTTACCCTCAAAAACGTGCACTATTTATTTTATTATACTGAATGTCTTATTGATTTCGGATGTCATAAAAAAAATTCGGAGATCGTCGTTAACTTCACGCTTAGAAAACTTTCAAACTCCCCGCTTCTATTTTTCTCAATAGGAAAGCTTCGGAAAAGATTTACCAACCTCTCTATTGTTTGTTTGCTACTCAAAAAGTCCTTTATCACCTAAAGTTTGCACTCGCAAGGATGTTTCGTCTGTCGTTTGTCTTTTTCAAGTAAGCTACATCGGACGCAAGCTTTTATTGACGTCGTTTATTCGGCTTCTTTCAAACGCACAACCGACGTTTTGAGAATTCTACGATGAACCGTACGCGCATGATTTGAACGCATGTGATATTTTCGTAATGTTACCCGTTGTCAAGTGTGTTGCTAACGCTGAGGGTAATATTACGGATTGTTAAATGTGTCTAAACCAATCAGATTTTAGTATTTAACATGAAAGTATAATATATATATATATATATATATATATATATATATATATATATATATATATATATATATATATATATATATATATGTTTTAAACTAAATTTTTTAAACATGACCATTTCTTTATCATGATGTTTCTAGCTGAAATTATCATACACAGTACCACTGTGCGTGGCTTTACTCATGCATATAACAAGACTGAACAAAAGGCCATACATTTTGATATGGAACTGAAATATCAGTATTCACATTTCTATAAAATTTCACTATACAATGTTCCTTTACAGTACAATCTTACATAATGAATCTTGAGAATTATATACTATTTATTCCCAACATTTCCTGAATTTTATAGCTTCAATATTTATTCTTATTCCCTTTTCATACCAAGAATTTAATTTCAATTAAACATAAGTTACTGAAAATTAAATTTAAACTGCGTTCACGTGTTTAATTTATGCCCTGTTCACATGGAGAGTTTAATTCGAATGAAACGTAAGTTACTGCGAATTAAATTGTATGTATTAAAATGTATACAAGCACTATGACATTATGTCAAATGGATCTGCTCTGCATAAGATGATGTGACTTGCAAATGCTGTCATAATAACCTTACTATCTTGAAATAAAATTTAAATTCACATTAGTTTTCTTCGCATTGACTGTCCAGACTTGTTGAAAACCGTAGGTCCTGTTGGCAAGGCCCGTAAAAATTTATCTGCACTGATAACTTTCAAGAAAGTGTCAGTCCAAATGACCGTTTGAAAAAATTGACAGTGATGCAAATTTTGAAAAGATCTGGATCTGGGTGCGCAGGTGAGGTCACAAAAACAGAAGAGATGTCTGCCTGGTGATGATGGTTGATTAAATTTGTTATAGCAATGACATAAAACTTGTCATTTATGTATCTGATTAAAAACTCTATCCTAAGAAAACAAAGAACAAGGTATGGTTTCAATACAATTCTTGCCCTGTGTTTTTCTTAAAAATAAAAGTGATGTAAAAAATTAAAACTCATGCTTTTTGAATTATTGAAATTCCATGCAGAAAGATCATACAAATCTTTTTTCTCACATGACCTTCCAAAAGCTAATTGTAACGTCATAAACATGCATTTTCCCATATTTTCTTAAAAAGTTGCAGAAGACACCAATTTTCAATGGAATTTTCTTTCAGATAATATTGTCCACAGGCATCGCCCACAAAGATTTTGAGATATGTGATTTTTCAAAGAATTTTACACAACATATCTAAAAATTAATGTGGGCGACGGCTGTGGACACTATTTTCTTAAGGAAAATGACCCTTGAAATAGGTCATTTTGAGGCTTTTTCTGTTTAAAATAGAGAAATGCATCAAATTAATGGCGTCATATATCCAGAATGGTACTCCATCATGCTATATTCTTTCCTGATTTATTACAGTCATATACTCAACTAATATTTAAGCCAGTTTCAAAACTTTTTGAAAACATTAAATTTTTAGGGCACAATAAAGCTAAAACCATACCGTCTTCTTTGTGAGATGGAAAGCTGTTGAAAATATTAAAGGGCATTTTAGTGCAGTAATTTATTTTCCTTTTTTAGTGTCAAAATAAGGTATTGGTACATGTCTCTGATCTGACAAAACTCTGTCTGGTCTGACAAAAGATTCAACTTTATCAGACCAAATGTCTGACAGTGATCGAAAAATTTTGACAATTTGGACAAATCTGTTGTCATGTGAATGCAATTTAATTCGCATTAGTTTAATTCGCATTATTTTACTTAATTAGCATTTATTTACTGCTGATTAAATATTTAATGCACATTCTTGTGCACAGGGCTTTAGATAAACTTTTTGTTCCCTAAAGTCAGTACTCTGCCATGAGGAGCAATGTTGTTAATTAAGCACACAATATCTGTTTATCCCATATGGGGATATTCAAGAGCAAATACTGATATTGAACCAAATATATCAATCATCTGTCATTTAAGGTATGTCACTCATGAACTTAGATATATCAAGGTTTTTTTGAGAAGTATATTTTAGATAAGTACTCATATAGCCTTACTCAAAATCGCAAAGGAAATGGGGGATCAGTGTGCATCTTACCGAGCTAGGGTACAATTAAGTTGTCCTTTTTGCACTTAAATTGTAAATTTTTGGTTTATCACTTTAATCTTTATCATATTTTATCAGATGTAATTTTGGCAATAAATATAATATCATTTTACGCAAAATAGTTTGAATTACATTTATCATTGAACAAATCATGCAAATTTAATGTGCATAAATTAGTGTGTGACCTTTTTGCACTAAAACAGTATCATATTTGGGGTATAAAATATCTAAATGGCAATAAAATATTTTCTTGTATCAAACTTTTTATGACTCAAGAGCTGATCGGTTGGAAATATCATGTTGTTTAAGACAATGAAGGAAAAAGTTGGAGTCAGTGATGTAAATTTTGAGATATTCGTCAAAATGTACAATTTTCAGGCAAAAAACGGTGTAAATTTTATCATGACTTCTTTAATATATCTTCATTTCTTGGCTAAGTCTGTTGAATGAATGTGTAAAATTTATTCTAAAAATATAAATTGAGACCTATATTTAATATTCCTAGCATATCATAACGGAAAATATTCTCTAAGTAAAAATATGTGGGGCTAAAGTTGCAAGATATTAAATTTAATAAATGTGGAGATTTGAAGAATTTTCTTCTAAATATCCTTCCACCACAAGAAATAGTCCCTCACAAATCTTCCTTCTTTATGAATTTGTGAGCAGTTTTTTAATTGAATGTTGAATAATTTGCATCGTTTAATTAAAATATGTTATAAAATAGAATTGTAATAGGGTGAGTTAACCATGCATCGGACACATACCTTGCTTCGGACAACTTTAAGCAATAAACTTTCATTGATCCTGAATCTCCCCGTGTTTTTACTTGTTTCTATCTTAAAGGTGAAGATTTAAACTTTCTAATGATGCCGATTTTTATTTCCATGTTGTGATAAAAATACCACAAGGATGGCCTTGAAATTACGTCATATTTTGCATCATCAAAGGGGAATAACCAGAATTTTACGATTTTGCAATTTTTAGAGTTGTCGCTCTTTGATATAGACTTCAACGTAACGAGTCAGACCTTGGTAAAATTTGTCAATGATTGATAATTTTACAGAAATTTTTCAAAATTTTACTTCAATGTTTGTATAATAATTTTTAGAGTTTTTTTTTACTAGTATCTTTATTTCACCCTACATTGGACACAAATAAACCATGCATCGGACACTTTCCGATGCATGGGTAATCACTTCCATTTTCAAATAAAACCCAAATGACAGCCGTTTTTTAGGAAAATAGAAAATAAAAACTCTAAATTTTAAGTGAAAATACAAGATATCGATATATGAAGACTAGAAGTGTACCCAATTCATTTCTTTAAACTAGATGATGATAACCCACGAGAGAAAGGAGCGAGTTGCCGTATTACTAGCATTATAAAGCCTTTCTAAGGCGATGTGATGCACCTAAAATCTCTTCACATTTGTTGATCAAAATAGTCATTCAAATTTAACTAGAAATTTAATTTTTTAATAAAAGATAAAAATGTTTCGGTATCACTAATTTTAAAGCACCAAGATCAAGGTGTGATATTTTTCTGGTTAAATACCGTATGTCCGATGCATGGTAAATATTGTCCGATCCATGGTGAATTCTGACTTATTTCGAAAAAATCGGGTTTAAATGATATTTTCTCAATAAAGAGCACAGGATTGTGTCAAAAATTTATATTTTAACCACATACTACATGTTAAGTTCAATTTTGACAAGAGGCCCATGGGCCACAACGCTCACCTGATTAACTTTGGCCCTGCTGTTCTTCACCTGATTTCCTATCTTGTAATGCCTATTGTGGCCCCGTCCTACCCCCTGGGGTCATGATATGAACTACAATTTAGAATGTACACAACCCCAGGATGCTTCCATATAAGTTTCAGCTATTCTGGCCCAATGGTTCTTGAGAAGAAGATTTTTAAAGATTTTTACTACATATTTCAATGTAAAACTTGGATTCCCTATTGTGGCCCCGCCCTACCTCCGGGGGTCATGAATTGAACAATTTAGAATCTACACTACCCCAGGATGCTTCCACATAAGTTTCAGCTATTCTGGCCCAATGGTTCTTGAGAAGAAGATTTTTAAAGATTTTTACTACATATTTCAATGTAAAACATGGATTCCCTATTGTGGCCCCGCCCTACCTCTGGGGGTCATGAATTGAACAATTTAGAATCTACACTACCCCAGGATGCTTCCACATAAGTTTCAGCTTTTCTGGCCCAGTGGTTCTTGAGAAGATTTTTTAAAGACCCCACCCAATTTTTATCTTTTCTTGATTATCTCCCCTTTGAAGGGGGCTTGGCCCTTCATTTTAACAATTTTAACTCCCCTTTACCCAAGGATGCTTTGTACCAAGTTTGGTTAAAATTGGCCCAGTGGTTCTTGAGAAGAAGTTGAAAATGTGAAAAGTTTACAGACGGACGGACGGACAGACAGACGGACGACGGACAACGAGTGATCAGAAAAGCTCACTTGAACTTTCAGCTCAGGTGAGCTAATAATATTCAGTCGGTAGCGATATTGCTAGAACTGGTTGAAGTGCGAGGGTGTCCAATGCATGGTGAATTCACCCTAAATAGTTTTGAAGTTAAAGGTTCTGACTGAACTTTTCTAAAAAGCTGATGAGTGACATACCTTAATGATTTGTCAAAGTCATACACCATTTCACGGTAACTGTGGTACTGCTCTTTTGCAGAGCAAAATGATATAGTTTGGTGAAATATGACATAAAAGTAATTGTTAAATATACGTCATTAATTATCTTTAAATAAAAACTTCGCCAAACGTTATTATTTTGCCCTGCAAAAGAGTAGTACCGCAGTTACCTTGAAGGGGCTAATTCTGCAAACTTTTGTTTTTCTTTGGCAAAGACATTTAAGTTTAGAAATGCATTTTGTAAAATTGTATGTGTGACTGCTAAAACTACTGATTAAAAGAAGTGTTAATGGGAAGGAAAGTTAACCATGAACTTCTGAAGACATAAAATGACACTTACGGTCTCATTGTTTTTTATTTATGTCTCTGATCTTACAAAGCAATGCTCAATATGTTATGGGAAGAATCTAGATTCCATGAAGTTTTGCATAAAAACAAACTCGCGTACAATAATACAATAATAAAGTTTACACTACAAAAGATATATGAATTTATACTATATATAAAGCAGGTATCACTTTAAAGCCTTAACGTTACACAAACATAACATCTAACATGCAATATGATACATACAAAATAGCAACATAAACAAATTTTGGAATGTTATACAAACACTATTTACCATTCTTCTTCTTCTTCTTTTTCTTCTTCTTCTTTTTGGGAGCGTCAGTGGCGTCTACATCGTTAACAATCACTTTGTTTTCCTCATTCTCCTGCTCCAGATTCTCTTTTCCAACGACCGATTCATCCTCGATGTCCGCCATGCTTTTTTGTATTACAGAAAGGGTTAGGCTAATATCAGCTATATATATTCTCAGATATATTAATGTGTTCAGGTTACTAAACAATGTATTTAACCTGCCAAGTATTAGGTTGAGCAGTTTACTTCAAAGTTTGATGACAATCTTTAACATATTAGATAAATATTGCATATCTCCAAAAATATAACATTTTCACATACCTTTTCGTTAATTAGATTCACCATAATGCGAAGTAATGCGAAGTTATGGAACATCATTACTTGCTGAATTACATGAAAATGATTTATACCGATTTCCATTCTGACTGTCTGTCTCCTTGATTCTCCAAAAAATGGTTAAGTTAACAATGTCGATCCATAGCTTAGGGAAAGATGTAATTCAGGATGCTCATGGATCATGTGGAAGACAGATTGAGAACATTTTGAGTTCAGTGGTTATGACTGAATTTGAAATAATAAAATGTATTTGATATTCCTCCATCAACTGTACGTCCGATATTATCTAAGAGGAAGGTCAATGGGCCACAACACTCACCCGATCACCTTGGTCGAACTGTTATTCAGAAGATTTAGAAAATCTTTTTCCCTTTCTATACAGCTACATGTAATTATGTCAAACAAAAGCCGGATGATCATAAGTGAGTCATAGTTGCTTTTTTACACTATATATTTCATTGAAAAACATTTTTTACAAAAACTTATTCTGGGGTCATTTTTAGCCCTGTTACCATAATTCACTGAACCATGCAGAATTTTATTGCTCAAATTTTCTTGTCTTAAAATGCTAAACAAAATGATTCATTAATTAATGAGAATAATTTATGAAATCGTCAAGACAAAGATTTCTAACCTCAATTAAATTATGACGATTTCTTAACAAATTAGAATTGTAAAACTTTTATTTTGCATTTGACTTGTGATCTCACATGACAATGCCTACAGATAAAATTATTTAGAAATTATGCTCCATTCATGAGGACATAATGTGGACGTGAACTATGACGCTTCGGGCCGGCATTTTTCATGATAAATATGCAGGCATGAAGCGGTGTAGTTCATGTACCTCATGGATTCTCAAAAATTAAATTCATTCCTTATATTTACATAAGTTTTCTAATGATTTATCAAATACATTTGTCACTCAACGATCATCTTTGAAAAAAAAAGTTTGCACTATTTTTTTACTTCAATTAGGTCACAATGGAAATATTCTTGCTCATCCCACGGTAGTTCATGAGAACATGAACTTTTCTAATTTGCAAAGAATATTAAGGAAAAATATTTGGAAATGTTAATATATTTTAGTGAGGAGTAAAGAAAGAAGCTTGGTAGAACATTTACTGGAACCGGCTATGTATCTTAATTAATTTGTAAGGATTTTTATATGAAGCTTTGAAATTATATATATATAGGCCTATATATATATATATATATATATATATATATATATATATATATATATATATATATATATATATATATATATATATATATATATACATTGTAATTCAAATTCATTTTGGTTGTTGGGAATATAAAATATTCAAAACTGACATATGATTTTGAAGAATTTCCCATTTGAAAGCTATGGGTATAGGTTGGATTGCCACTTGTAGAATTAAATCCCAGTTCTTCTAAAATACAATTAAAATAATGAGACTGACAAACAAAGAAAATGTTGTTACCTGCTTTGTCAGCTGGGACCAGTAAAGTAATATTGATCGTCTAGTCTGTATCTAATTCTTTTTTCACTTCTGAATTATTGAACACAGAAGGATAGATGGTTTTCATATCGCCCCTCAATCGCTTAATGCAAGATTTTAACATACTTCTGATACATCTTATCCATTCTGACAAAGTTTCAAGGTTTTCTTTTTCATGTCTGGCCCATCGCCTGGCGTAATCTTCCACCGAATTCATTATGAAATTCTGATATAAGTTGAAGATTTGCTACTGACATCTCAACCTGCTGTTTAGCATTTTATGCATTATTTAAATCATTGATGTCATCAAAGTATCAAAGATATTAATGAAATAAATAACGACCTTTTATTTTTTTTATTTTTTTTTGTAACTTAATTATTTTATATCAAAACAAAGATGTTTCAATAGGAAATGTGTGATCAGTCATGTCTTCGAGATTTCGTCCACTTTGATCCTTATTGTGGGCCCACCTTATATCCATTTGAACAATTTAGAATGAATTCTAGTATGGAGATAACGAACAGCAATCAAGTTCAAAAGTCCATTGAAACAATACTAACAAATCGGAAGCAGAGCAAACATGGACCCCTAAACAACATCAGACGTGGGATCTCAGGTACCATGGATGTAAGCATCCACTGTCGGCCGATGATCGGGCAAACGGAAAAATCCGTTAACAATTCAGTGTTTAAATAATGGCCTAACAATTAGTATGAAAAATGTCAGTAAGTATTCGATTTAATTATAGTTTATATTTGCTGACAAGGTCATTGTATCGACCATAGAATTTGCAAAAATAGAGAACAATATCAGGGTTCTCCATCATTTCAAATTTAACTGTGGCGCAGGACTTACGCGAAGTGCTAATATTCGCGGTCATTTGGCGACTGAATTTGCGAAGGAACCACGAAAAAAAAATTGGGAAAAAAACCCCAGTGAATTAATAGTTTAATTACACAAATGACATTTTTGATTTGGTCAATTGATTAATAAATTCAATAATTAAAGCAATTAATCGATATCGGTTACATATAGTGCAAACGCAAATTAGGATGTTTCTAAAATATATGCATACTGTGAAAATTTAAAGAACCCCCCCCCCCCCCCAACACATACGTACTTTTAAATGAACAAATATTAGCTTATAGAATTTGAAAATAAAAGTACGGGAAACAACAAGTTTTAATGATTAAACCCTATTTAAAAAATGATTTTGTTAACAAAAGGTCAATTATACAGTTGTACATTAAAGGACAGAGGAAATTCTGGTAAGTCACACGATCAAGCTACTATCTATATATATTTGCAATTATCGGTCTGAAGACTGAAATAGCTTAAAACATAAATTAAAAAAAAATACATAAGCAGTTAAGAGTCATAAAATAATATTTTGGTGGATCTATCGTTAATTTTTCAACATTACAAAAATACATGATTACGATAGTACACGCGTACGATGTTTGACTCGCAGTGCCAATGCAATTTTAGAGACGTGGTTATCTGTAGAACTATTATAGCATGAATTAAATAAATTTATTGATATTAAAAATTTTATTTGCAATTATCGTGAAGTGTAGAAAAAAATGGCTTGATTCTTTTCATCCAAGTGTCCAGCGAGGTCTAGAAGATAATTGCTTGTGCAAGCCAAACAATGGGCCCTAATTGGAGTAAATTAACGGATTAGCATAAGAAACTGAAAAACTGTACATAATTTGGAGGTTCATTTGGTTTATAAATTTATATATTTATCTTATTGACGACGACGATCTTACTGTGACGCTAATATTTTAACTGTGGCGGAACTATGGCGCTGATTTTTGAACTGTGGCGCTAAGGAACTTAACTGTGGCGGGGCCGCCACGTTAAACGACCCATGGAGAACCTGGAATAAGTTATCTTCTCAATTGTTATTTGCGACCGTTAATGCTGATTGAACGGTCGCAAACCGAGTTTTACCAGCGACTGCTTCTGCTTATCAGTATCTTAATAAAAATCAACTAAGAGACAAAAACCCCATATGCAGGTGATAACGGTAATTGCTACATACGTAAATTAAGGAAGTTGACGATTGAAAAGTTAATAAAAGTAATCACGTTTATCATAAAGCTTTTCTTTGATTGTTGTTTAACGTCTCTTTCGAGATTTTTTCACTCATATGGAGACGCCACCACTTGCCCATGGAGAGCTGCAAATTTTTGACCTATACTCGGCACTCAGGGCCATTGAGCGGTGAGGGATCTTTTTCGTGCCAGCACCTACTGCAACACGGTACCTCGGTTTATACGGTCTCATCCGAAGGACCGGTATTCCCGTCTCGCATTGGGATTCGAACCCGCGACGATCATAAAACTTAGTTGTTAGGTTACCATAAATGTCTTTTTCTACTAAAATATCCAGATGTGTCAGACTATGTGGTATCTTTTATTTCAAGCTCATTGGGATATATCGCGTCAACACATGTCTTGAATGGAAATAACTATAATTGTTAATTGATAATACGTCGTCGATATATCTAAATGTTGAGTTGAAGGCCACAGCAAGTGTTTTCTTCTTCTGATGTATAAGATCTTGAATAAATTCTGCTTCACATGAATACAAAAATAAGTCTGCTTATATCTGGGCGCAATTGGTACCCATGGATATTCTAATAGATCGTTGGAAAACCTGGTCTCCAAAAACCACATAGATATTGTCAATCAGAAACTCAAGCATATATTCAATATCAACTTCAAAGTACAATAAAAACATTTTTATCAATAAAAATAATTATGTAAATGACCGATGACAAGGTTAGTAAATTTACGACTTCCATTTTTATTGAAAAGCAGCGGTCAATGATGGTAAAAGCCTGGACTTTAATTAATCTTAAGGAATGACTGTATACAGAGTTGAAAAGTCGTACGTTTTGATGTTATTGATTTCGGTAAAATTTTGTGATTTCAAATTTTTCAAAAGTTCCCTGGAATTTTTAAGAATCTACATCTGATTTACATCACTTCCGAATACGTTGCTGCAAAGTACTCCTGAAGTTTCTTCTTTACTGCTGTTAATATTTTAGTGAGGACTAAAGAAAGAGGCTTGGTAGAACATTTCTGGAACCGGCTATGTATCTTTATTTGTAAGGATTTTTATGAAGTTTTGGAATCCAATATAAATATGGTAATTCAAATTCATTTTGGTTGTTTGGAATATTAAAAATATTCAAAACCGACATATGATTTTGAAGAATTTCCTCCTTAAAAAGGGAGCTATGGGTATAAGTTGGACTTCTCCACTTGTAGAATCAAATGTTCCTCTAAAATACAAT